GTTAGCTGGGGAACACTTCCTCTAATAGACCGGGTGAAGAGGCCGATACCTCTTCGAGTGTTAGAGTCGTTACTCTGCTGTATTGAATTTAATTGTAATAAATACGTGTTGCCTCCATCAACTTCTCCTGCGTCATATACGCCCGTTACACATCTATAACCAGCACATAGTATATAATGATAAAACAGTCCCACTGGAGTTCACTCACCTTAACTATAGAAGTGTTGTGAATCCCATAGGAGTTTATCATTTGCGTTGCTCAATAATTAAAATCTAGAACCATTAACAGGGCTGAGGTAAGTCGATACAGGAGGGATGGGGAAAGGCAACAGCAGTGGGAGTTACAGGAGGGCTGAGTGACGGGCTTGCCCGCGACCGTTTCAAGAGAATCGCCACCCAGCCTCTGTGGCGTGGTGCGCGGCCTCCTCCACGCGATTACGTGGAGGAGGCCGCGATTGCGTGGAGGAGGCCGCGATTGCGTGGAGGAGGCCGCGATTGCGTGGAGGAGGCCGCGATTGCGTGGAGGAGGCCGTGATTGCGTGGAGGAGGCCGCGATTGCGTGGAGGAGGCTGCGATTGCGTGGAGGTGGCCGCGATGGCGGGAAGGAGGCTGCGATGGCGTGGAGGAGGCCGTGATACACTCACTCATCTTACACTGACTCACTCACACATCATACACTGACTCACTCATCATACGCTGACTCACACATCATACACTCACACACACAACCACTGACCCATTCACTCATCATACACTGATTCACTCATTATACACTCACTCATAATACGCTGACTCACTCACACATCATACACTGACTCACTCACACATCATACACTGGAAGTGTCATGCTGTCGGATATGGCTGCAGGTTTGGTCGTACATGTCGTGTGTATCGTTTATTGTTAAATTTGAATCAAAGTTTCTATGATTACTGTTGTTACATTGTATTTTATAGCTTTATTTTGGTGATTTCGACAACATATGGTTAAGCCATGTTTCTTGCGGAAGTGCGGAGTTGGCCTGATAGCTTGAATCTAAGTTGTCTTATGGTTGTTGTTGTCTGACTTGCATCGCACTGGGATTTTTGCACACAGCGTTGTAATACGGTGTTTTTTTTCTGGAAGATTTGCTGGTTTATACAGGATGTTTCTGTTGCGCATCGTCGCTTTAAGATGTTCTCTGTTCATATTTTGTTTGTTGCGGTTGCACCCGACTCAAGAGCCGCATGGCTCACAGGGCTATACTAAATGAATGAAAAAGAAATTAAATGAAAACTTGACCTTAAATCATGTTTACTGATAAAATAAGGCCCGTGTACCACGCGGTTATGGATGAATTGCCGGGAATTCACCTTAAAGTTTGCAGCTCAAAAACGAACACAATTATAAATCAGAGCTCGGGACAGGGTAATCACGTAAGATGGATTGAGGAAATTAGAGCTACCTATTAAGCGTTGAGAAAACAATTCTAAGAAAATGTTGGGAATTTGTTAGGTCGTGTGAAGCCAGTTGATTTTCGATAATGTTTAGATGCAAAAAGCTCAGCCAGTATGTGAGTATGGGGTTAATGCTTTGTGATTCTCAGGGGAAAAAAGTACGCAAACGGCGTATGTAAGCAAAACAATGCAAAACGATGCGGAGCAATGACGACATGGGATTATGTCCTAAACAAAGGAAGGTAAACCCCAACCCTGACAGCAAAGGGAAATGTATTCTTGACAACGAAGGTAGCAGGAACAAAATATCGTCAACCAAGCACTGCCACAGAAAAATACAAACAGCTAGCAACAGGGCCACCAACTTAAATCATGATAACGTGCTATTGCAGGACTAGCACGAACACACACATACAGTATGTGGTCAGAATATATGTGGGTGGGAGGCAGCAGATAGGACTCAGGGCAGTTTGTCCCATCTACATCGCTGTTTTATTACTCCAGTTGAAAATTACTTCAGAGACAATCAATAACCTCAATTACATTTATTTTGTTATGGTTAGCGTTATATTCTTTATTGTGCAGCAGCAGATGTAAAGCGGTACAATTTCTCGTTGGAGCATAGCCAGTTAATATAGCGTAATCAAACGGTGATTAATCAATACCTTGCAATATCATTGCCTGAAATAAACGTTCCTTATGGCTATCGAATCAGTTCAAAATTGCAACATTCAATTAAGATGGAAATCTGTATGTATACGAAAATAAAGTGTGTGATACGTGGTTTATGTTTGCAATTAAGTTAGTATTCACTCTTGAAATAAAACAATTTTTAAACGACTTTCTCAAATTTATATTCCTGTGTACTAAGCATGCCCTGTAACCTCAAGGGTCTTCTCTATGCCAAGGGAAATTTGAAAAAAGCCTGGAGAAAAGTACAATGCTTATATGTTCTGCACAGATCTATATGAATCCAACTCAGTTTCCAATTCAAAGTTCAATACCATGTGAAGAAATGTGCTGATAAATATGTAGCAGGATTCACATCCAAGACGTTTGATATTCCAGAAAGTTGTCATCAATTTGATCGAGTATATCTTCTTGAAAATGTTTGTTCAGCCTGATTACTATGTTATATAAATGTGTGTTGTGTTTTTTTTTATCAATTCTCACCAAGTTTTTATGGCCATATAAACCAAATGCTATTAAAATAGCGATTAAAATAGCATTGAAAGTTCACAATGGCAATTTCTTGCCACAGGTGCATGCTTTTGTTGTTGCGGAGAACGGAGTTTCTGTTAGGGTAAACATAACCTTGGAGCATGAGCTTGTTGAAAGTGGACATATAGAAACTCGGGGAGACATGAGGAAGTTTATCAAACACACTTTTAACAAATGTTAAATGCTAAACAGTCATTATTAAAATCTGTGTACATCTGTCATGCATTCTGCTTAAGCTCTCACTCCACTAAGGGCTGTTTATATGATTATGGGTAAACGTTAAGCGTAGGTTTTCATAGCCAATACAATGATCTATGTTTCTTTTTTAATTTGGCCATGTGGTAATTTTATGACAAAAATATTGTCAATAACACCTCCAATAAAGCTCATCACCGGTGGCTTAAGACCTTTTTATTAAACACGTCAGATATCGATGTAAGAGCACAAGAGTCAGCTGGGACAGCACACTCGATTTCCGAGTTCACTCCCCGGTGAAGCCCAAAGCAGGTTTTGAGGGAAGCGTTTCACGTTGATGATAATTTCAGAATTCTATCAATACATTGGCACGCATAAATAATATTTGTAAAACGCGACAATATTATTGGGTGGCAAAAGGGTTAATGACAAGAATGTTGGCATAAAACTACCACTTGTGGCCTAACCCAAAAATAAACATGGTTTGTGGTTATGGCTGTTCATGGAGTTGGTGAACTCTGAAGCATAACTGCCACTGGTTTTGAATTGATTATTCTTTCCAACATTACAATTCAACACCAGTGGCTTGACTATGTGAATTTACGGGAGGAGTGAAGCCTAACCGCTATGCATCTCACTATATTGTATGTGTAAGCACTTAAATAATAACTTAATAACTTATGCCGTTGTGATTTTGTTTTTACTTCATGTTCAAACAAATATAAAAAGTAAACTAGCACATTTCTGGAGAATTATTATGTTTAAATGTAAAAAAACTCAAACATGATGTATGCCTTAGGACAGGTAATAAAATCAGCAGTATTCTTAGGTGTTTTCGGTAAAGTCACGTAGGTAAAATATTACAATTAATAAAAGTAGAATAAAATAAAAATCACGACGTTTCGGAGGCAACGTCGTGATTTTTTATTTTATTTTACTTTTATTAATTTTAATGTTTTACCTACGTGACTTTACCGAAAACACCTAAGAATATGAATCCTTGCAGTCACGAAAGCTTCAAATCTAAAATCAGCAGTCTCCTTTAATTTGCTTCTTACGCGGTCTCAATCAAACATCTATTATGAATAATAATTTTTACGATGAAATTATGTGGGTTAAATCTCCTCTTGTTGCTACGGAATTGTATTAATATGCTTTGGGGCTGCATTGCTCCCATCAACCTGCAATTGCGGTTGCTTTTTAGTACTAGACACACTAGATAGCATCTGGCAAAGGGCACTGTCTAATCCAAAGTCTTCAGAAGAAGTAGTTGAAAATGTAATTAATTTTATTTCAGAAAAGTGGCTAGAAATCTCATCACCTGGACACCAAAAAACATTTGTTTTTAAATGGTGACTTTAAAAGGGTAGACTAATGTTATCGCAGCATTTCACTGACCTATGCTTTGAGGCACCATGCCCTCTTATGTATGCATCAGCCATTTCTCACTTGCATAGTTTGCCATATATTCTTGTCAGTTTAAAATATTCCTGCACGCTGGCAGACTTGGTTATATGCAAAAAATGTATCTCCTGCTAAATACTCCTAGTAGCCGTCCTAATTGTCCAAACAAGCACTGGCATCATATCACTCGTTACTTACACGATTAAATTAATGTCTGAATAGCATATACATTCATTTAAACCGGAGTCTAGCAGCGCTTTTAAGATGTTATCATTGCCAAAGCTAATATGTCACCACACCTCACCAACACGTTCTATCTATTACCAGATCCAGGAGTTGCTGCACAGGAGACACACAACCTCCAATATCTACCCTAACTCTATCTATCCCACGATCTGCACTAAGATCTCGATTACCACATTCGTAGAGACTGCTCCAATTTCTATCTCAGCCATTGGCCCTCCTCTATCCTGCACACACATTCTAGCCAACAAAGATGTTTTCGCATCATCATATTTACAACACTTACCTGTGAAGTAGGGAAGTTCTCTTCCGTATTTTCACATGGCTTTTCCTGTCTTGCAACGACATCCCTAGCATATGCTTCCAACGCCACAGTGCACCCCAAATCCCTCATTCACCACACCGGCTTGGCGACACGACGCTATCTCAAGATGCACCCACTCCACACCTTTCCAAACGACCGTAACAACACACCTCTCGCTGCAATCTGTGCCACCACTCACCTATCAGTGGGGAGCTGCCCTCCTCCCACATGCACGCACGTGAGCACGCGCATCTGGACGCCGGTGGCGCACGCGGCCTCCCCGTCGGCAACAACCTGGGAGGCGTTAGGTGACCCCTGGGTGACCTCGTGCACGCACGGCCCCCAGGGCAGAGCGTGCCAGTAGTGCACGGTGCAGCCATACTGGTTGCAGGGACGCCACTCTTGCAGGCCCAGCCGGTCCGGGCACTGCCTCCCACCTGCGTGCTCGCACCACGAAGGAGGAACAGATGGGGGCAAATGTGAGTTCCTAACCGCCACCCATATCGTTTCATCGCTCCCTTATATCACTATGACCAATTAATTATCTTGTGTGTCTTGGAGTTATGCCGTGTTGTTTCGCATGATGTCTGATGTTTCACTCCATGTGCTGGGAGCTTCGAGAGGAACAATGAAGAACGACATGTCAAACACGTCGGAGAGAGATAGAGCACAATTGAGAAAACATACGCAGTGGTATTATAACCAATACACCCAGAATGGGCAGGCAAAAAACATCAGACACCATCACATTTTCAACGTACATTTACAGACATGATTCCTCGTAAAAAGGTTTCAGTTTTGTTGCCAGAAAAAAAGGGGAAAAACCCTATCCTTATATTTTGTTACTGGCAAAGGAGGTCAAATGATGATGCTTAAACAAGTGTTGTGTTGCACTTATATCTGTGTGTCATCCTGAGCTAGCTCTGGATACCCCATACTCCTGGGGTAAAGATCAGGTTTGTCAACAAGGACAACCACTGATGACATTAATTTCGAAGGAACTAATTTTTTTTGAGATTGGAGGGATAATGGATAGCCTGAGCAGACCTCCACTATAATTTGAACTGATAAAAGTTCTACAGAAATGTAAAGTAAAAACTATGTACAAATGTGCATGTAGCGTCGCGCGTATCAGTGTGTTTGTGGAGCTCAGTTCAAATCCCCACCATGGCTCACATCAGTGGTAATTATCTGAACTTGTCTTGGGCCTCCTATAGGTTGTCTCAGCCTAGTGCAGTGTGGAAACACTAGCACTGAAGAGACAAAGGTGGCCAGGCGTAGATTTGGCCAGCCACCCCCTTGTGTGCCATATTAGCCTTCATTGGTGCTCGCTAACAGCACTTGACCAAACGGTATGTTAAGGCTATACGGGGGATCTTTGTCTCTTGTGTGCGTGATTTGTGTGTGTGGTGCTGGAGGTCGTACCGTCGCCGGGAAGTGCAAGGATGGCGCGTACGCGCACCTGCCGGCCCTGGGTGGCACTGTCACCCACCCGGCTCCCCTCACCCCCCAAGCAGGTGTGGGAGCAGGGCATCCATTGTCCCCACTCGGACATCGCACAGTCCTCCCAACATGGCACTTGGCATGCTAGCTGCATCGGGAAGCCCGGCTCCCCACACAGTTCCGGTCCAACGGTCACGCCTGCCTCGTACGCACACCGTCGACGCACGGGGACATGTTCGGGTTATGATGCGCAGAGACACAAGGTTCTACAACTATTTAAACTATATTTATTTTAACAGGTAAGGTCCACTGAGCTATATAGCTCTATTTCAGAAGCGACCAGTCCACAAATGACAGCCCAACGAAGTGGCTTATCGTGTAGAATATTTACAGAAGCTAAATACTCTAAACGCATGTCGATTCTAAATGCAAAAGAAAAAATCGGAGGACCCGGAGAAAGATCCACACGACCACAGGGAGAGCATGCAAACTCCAAGTAAACAGACACCAGGGATGGGATCGAACCCACGACCTCCTATATACCAGGCGACGTAGCCATCATCTCGTCACCGCGCATGGGTACAGACATTGTGGAGACACTTGCCAGGGTGCAACAGAGGCAATGTCATCCAGTGAAACATGTGATCCGGTGAAACATGTATGGGTTTTCTCTGGGTGCTTCGGTTTCCTTCCATATGTAGACACCTAAATATTTAAAGGGCCTCAATGCTTGGGAAATTGTTGGTGTCAGTTCATCACATGGCTGCCTTTTTGCTTATGTATGTGGTTCCTTAAGCCTCTGAGTCATTCCCTTTCTTTGCGAGTGAGAAAATAATATGCGCATTACAAGTTGAAATTATATTTTTTATTCATTAATAATACAAATAACATTCTGGTCAAGTACACGATGTGCTCAACTATGTACACATCTGAACGCGTACGCACAGGCACACGTTCGTGTCGTTTGCATTTTAACGAAAATATACGCTTGAATGTATAATTTAATTATCATATGAAAGCCATATATTGTTTGGTGCCATGTTGGCTTCGGGAAAATTGAAAATTATAGTTACGCCACTGCCACCACACAGTGACCTTACGTGGCACATGCCACGAGTTCATCGAGGTCTCTTTTCCAGCAGTTTATGCACTTTTGTAACGCTCCACAGTGTGGATGTATTGGAGGCAGGATTAAGGCTGCAAAGCCACAAAATTATGTCGTCTTGGCAGCGGGAGTGCTGACTGCTACACTTTCTACCTGTGGCAGCTCTTTCATTTCCTTTATGGTAATTTCTGTTACACACTTTTGAGGTTCAAATGAAAACAGCTGAAAAGTTAACTCAAGTCATCGGTTCTTTAGCAATAATATTATATTTAAACAGACACAGCTCGTACTGAGCATCAGAACCCACATCAGTGTTCTCCATCAGTACCACTGACACAATGTCTCAACTTTTTCGTTATTCGCAGTGCATGAATTAATCAGTGAAAGTGCTTACATGCAGTCTCTGACAGTGGACTTTATTCTCTACTTCCATAAAATATTCAAAAACTGCAACTTTTAAATAATTCTGCAGTGGTTGAAATCGTTTTTTGGGGATTTTATGGCATCGATCAAAGACCACTAGTATATAGCTTCCATAAATTTGTGTGTCCTTGCACTTAATGCTTTGATGATCATGTGCCTTTGAAAATATTGAATGACTTTAAGTAATTGCTTCAAGGTGTTGCAACAGAGGGAGACATCTAATTCCAATGCCTATTTCATGTGGGCATTTGAAATTAGTATTATGTTCTTAGATTAATTATTCTTGATTTGAAGCTTTCGTGACTGCAGGAATCTATACTCTTTGGTTCTTTCGGTAAAGTCACGTAGGTATAAAATAAAATAAATCACGACGTTTTGATCACAACACAAGTGACCGTCATCAGGTGGAACAGATACAGCAGGAGAACTGATTAAATCCTATCTGTAAAGGATGTAACTCCTGACATGCAATACCCTGGTGTCTACAAACTGAGTTGTGGTTGCGGCAGCAGTTATATTGAGGAAACGAAACGACATGTCTCGGACCGCGTTCGTGAACACAAGGCAGATCTCAAACACGGTAGGGCCAATACCTCTGCCGTTGCTGATCATATATTTTTCCAAGACGGAGGTACTCTGCAAACCTACTGGCTACCTGCAGAGATTTGTTCATGAAGCCATCCAGATATATAAACACAGACACAACTTCAACAGAGAAGATGGGTACAAACTGAGCAATCATTGGAAGGACGTTATTAACCAGATAAACTCTTAACTGACTTTGATGTTTCCATCCTACCTGCCTATGTAAGCTGTTATTTCCGACTCTCTGAATACATCACCAGGTTAAATATCTGTGAGGCGGCCCAGCCACAGGAGAATCCCCGCCACCTCCGGTGGCTGGGACCGTCCAACATTGACATGCTAATGTCTCACATTTACATTTACGTGCAAGTTCCGTCTCTAGCTCCGCCCACTTACCCTTGGGTTGAGCCCACCAAAATCCTATATAGACTCTTGTTGCAGCAGCTCTTTCTCCTATGTCAGCAGTTCTCCTGCTGTATCTGTTCCACCTAATGACGGTCGCTTGTGTTGCGATCGAAACATCGTGATTTATTTATTTTATACCTATGTGACTTTACCGAAATAACCAAATAGTAAAGATTAATTATTAACTATTGGACTGCAATTGCTAAAAAAAAAGATTTTTTAAAAGAATTCATACTTAATAAAAAAGACAAGTGAAAAGGTGTTGATAATGAGAAAGCGTAATTGTTGCATTACAATAGATTCATGATTTGTTTTGAGACTGCAAGTTATACGAGCTGAGAATGGTGGACATACGCCTGCAATCCAGCACTGGAGACAATCTAGTGCTCTATGCATAATTTTGAAACCCCAAAACTGTCCATAAGAGGTTTTTGGGTTAGATTGCGTCAATATAAATGTGTCGTTAAACCCGCCACCACCCGATACAGCCAATTAGTAATGTTTCATACGTGAACAAACTTGCCAATTAGTTATTAGTTCAGCACACTGGTGTGTTGGAGAGTAAACCCACAACATTTACAATTCGAGTACGACATTTCGCCAGTAATTACAACGAGCATCATCAGGCGGACAGACAGAGTTTAACGACATATTGAAACTCTAAAACTGATTGGGCTTTGAATGGTACCCACTTGCAGATGTGCTGGGATTTTTTTAGGTATTCTGGTATACTTCCACGTATTCAACATTCCTACATGTAATTGGCCAAAACATCCTTCCTGAAAAATAGTCTTCATATTCAGTGAGGCTTTCTTGAAAAAAGAAATGAATTTACTGTATATTCATTGTATAACACAAGTATATGGATGTCATGGTTGATGAATATTTAAGTAACTGTGGGGAATATGAGACTACACAACGTTTCTATGTATGTAGAACTTATTTCGCACCATACGTAGCCAACCGTGCTAATCGTAGGTGAGGTAGTTAGTGGTGTGACAAGCATCACACCTGGCCATCTTTGTCTCCCCAGTGCTGATGTTTACATACCATGTTAGATAAGGTTGACTCAACCTAGGTAATGCCCAGAATCAATTCAAACAATAACCACTAATGTTAGACATGGCCGGAAATCGAACTCCAGGTGCTGTTTGGAGTGCAGTATATATGTAGTGGTGGTATTGACGTGCGCCGGGAGTGTTGGATCACGGGGCGCGGGGTTGGGCACGCGGTGTGGGCGTGGCATGGACGCGCGCGCCGGTGGTGAGGCGCGCTCACACAAGCTGGGAAAAGAGGATCGTAGCGAGTGCGCAGTGATTGGTCAGATAAGTGAGTACTCTCAGCGACGTCCGCAGGAGGGGTATAAAGGGGGACGCGCGAGAGCACTCGTGGTCAGTGTTAACCAGTTGAAGACCGAAGACGGGGTGGAGGAGGTAGGGGCCCTGTGTGGCTCGGAGCCGAGACTGGGGGGACCGTAGTCCGACGCCCGTGTGGGTCGGGACGGTGGTACCCAGAGCCGAGACGGGCACCCCGGCTGGGTGTGTCCCGGAAGGCTACAGGGCGTAAGAGCCCGTGTCAGTACAGCTGAGTGGGTGTTAGTGACCCGTGTAGCTGAGTGGGTGTTAGTCACCCGTGTAGCTGAGTGGGTGTTGGTCACCCGTGTAGCTGAGTGGGTGTTGGTCACCCGTGTAGCTGAGTGGGTGTTGGTCACCCGTGTAGCTAAGTGGGTGTTGGTCACCCGTGTAACGAAGTGTAGCTGAGTGGGTGTTGGTCACCCGTGTAGCTGAGTGGGTGTTGGTCACCCGTGTAGCTAAGTGGGTGTTGGTCACCCGTGTAACGAAGTAGGGTGTTAGTCATCCGTGTAACTACAAGTTGGTGAAAATAAAGAGTGTGCTACCCGTGAAGTCGTCTCCTGCCGAGTTACTATTTCACAACTGGCGTCAGAAGTAAACCTGTCTTCAAGGAGAATGGACACAAGGAAGACTTCTCGTTCCCACGTGCAAGACCGGGGAGACGACGACGTACCGGTGACACCACCCTCGGGAGGAGAGGACGAGGAGTTGCCGCCGATGCAACACTTCGCGGAAATGGCCGATGCTCCGCCCGCCTCCGACACCAGCCTGCAGGACGCACACTCCCGCCTGGCGGAGTTGCTGCTCGCCGCCGCTGCGATCTTGGCGGAGATCTCCGTTCCAGCGGCCGGTGGAACGCCTGCGGGGTTGGAAGAGGCGGCGCGGCTGGAGGGTTCCCGCCATAAGGCGTTTCGCGCCAAAAGTTTGGGAGTTGGCGCCATTTTTGAGGGTCCGCCTCCGGTTGGCGGGAAACGCGGACACCACGTGGCCAGAGGTCTCCACACAGCGCAGCCCGCGTCATCGGCGAGCGCCGGAGCTCTCCATTTTGCGCCTGCAGAGGGAGCCGACATTTTCTACAACCACAGCAGCGCGCGGGAAAATCGTTCCAACGACGACGACGACGATCGAGTTCTCCAGCAACGATTGCCCGCGCTGTCGGTGTTCAAGGCGGACGGGGGCGACTGGGGAGCCTTCCAGCGACGGTTCATCGCGCATCAAGAAATGTCGGGGTGGTCCGACACCACGGCCCTGCGCGCGCTGCCAGCGATGCTCGACGACGACGCGCTTGCGGCCTTCACGTCTGCCCCGAGGTCGTCCCGCTCAACGCT